CAAGTGCCCAGGAATATTAAAGATCCTATCTGACTGGCAGCTTTTCATCAAGGCACTGGTGTAGACAAGGAGTTGAAGCCTAATCCCCATTGTGGGTTATAGGATATTGCCATTTTCACACTCCATGCCTGTCTTGTGGAACTGATTCAGAGAGTAATTACTGCTCAGATAAGCCTCTTCTGGAATACATGCAATTAATTCTTCTGCAAAAAAGGGGGAAGATGCCTGACACTTTAATAATGTTTAAGTACACCTAATCTATTTCTTTTCTACTCCTAATTTTTCCTAAATATGGTGAAGAAAAAGGATTTGAAACTACTTATAAATGCTGGTTCTTATGTAAATTATCCATGGGTCTGTAATACCCTCTCATAAAAACAGGCAACATGAAGTAATACTACAAACCAACAGAATGTAAAGCAAATGGGTAATCAGCGTAAAGAGTAATCTAGATTTCTTTTTCCAAAAATAAGGACTACTATCCTCTTCAAATGGGAACTATCTAATTGCTTTAAAATTTCAAGGACAACTGTTTTTAAAAGGTAGACAGTAACCTGGACTAATGAAAATTTCTCTTTTTCACAAAAATTCAAAAGATTATTTTCCCCATGCATTCATGACATTTTTATCTGAATCTCATTCTTTGCCTGTCAAAACAAGTTGTAATGTTAAGACTGTAAAATTCAAGGGATCTGTACTGGCATAACTACATTTTGAAGTGATTTTTACACTTAACCTAAGTGTCTTTCATAAACAGTTCATCAGCAGGATTCAAATGTATCTAAGGTTTTCTGTTACACTTCAAAGCTGAGTAAAAAGTACTCATCTTCATGACACTTCAAAAACTGAGCAATTGGCTAATTGCCCATTATTGAAATCAACCTACAGAAAACAGCTAAGCTTGCCATCACTCTTGCCCTCCAGGAATACACTGTATTTAGCATACAGCAACTAAACCAACAAATACAAAAAAATTGCTCCTCACCAAAACCATCACCCCCCAACCCACAGCACAAGTCTCATGCCTTCTCAATTCATTTAACCTAAGTTTTGGGCAGGGAGGTAGAGCTTGTTTATGACTTGAAAAGATGAGAAAAAAAGTTTAAGAAATAAAAATAGCTCTGCCATGTTTTGTTGAGCTAACTCCAAAGTATCTATCCTGAAAGCAGTACTTCTACAGCTTGAGGTAAAGCCCACTTAGGTGGCACTGTACCTCACTATTCCATAAATGCAGAAAGTCTAACATTTGATAAAGTGCCACCTCCCTGGCAGAAAAGTATTCCCAACAGCTAGGCTATAAGGGGGATTAATTTCCTGACCTAACTTTGCCTCAGAATCCACTCCAACTGCCTCACTACATTTTTCATTCTGGTGGCACAACACACGACTTAAGTCACACAGGGAATCAAGGTTGAAAGGATAATGGTGTCAACTCTCATTTTTCAGCGTGAATGTTGCTGTACCAATGACAGCAATAGAATAAATGTTACTGTAAACAGCAGTCAGTTATTTTTGCCAATATAGCATGAAAATATTTTCTGCTTGAAGTCATTCTAAGTGCTCACACTGCAGTGGAAAAAGATCAATCTAGGAAAATCTATGGAGAGATGCAGTTGCAAGCAGACCTAGGTATGAGACAGCTGAGGTTTCAAACATCTTCATGCCAATGAAAACTAAGATGTTTGTTTATTTTGGTTATTTTAGGGGGAAAAAGAGAAGAAAAGAGAAAAGAAGAGCATGCACACTGCAGAATGGATACGCTTAATTTGATTTCCTGGACAATATTTTTACAAATGAGTACAGTTTTGAGAAAAGTGGTGGTTTCAACCCAAATTTTCAATTCCTGCTGAGGTTTACCATTTCCAGGTAGCTTTAGAGCAGGTTTGGTTAGCTGAGATTTCTGAAACAGGCATTTTTCAAGAGATAATGGAATCATAGAGGAATTAATTCTACTTCCCTACCTACCTATCTTTATTTCCCCAAAAACAGACACACTTCTGGTGACAAAGGGAGTCAATATAAAATAATCACTAAAAAAGCGAACAAAAAAAAAATCTGCAAGAGACTATTCTATGTTCTTCTTTGTTTATTAGGAGATAGGTGATGGTTCCTTGTATTTTATCCTTTCTACCTGGGTATTGTAGCTGAGCATCTAAACTCCTATTTTCATTTCTCTAGTATTTAGCCTTTTCCCCCTTAAAAAGCTATTTAACAATTGCAAGTTCTGAAGTTTCATCAGCTTACACTCCATTGACATTTTCCTCAGTTCAGCTCAAAGTTTCCTTCATAATGCACTCAAATGAGGTAGAAATGCTTTTTTAAAAGTATTGAAAAATTAGGGGAAAAAAAATCAGAGGGATAAACTACTAAAAAAGTCTAGCGAATCTAGAGGAAAGCAAGAAGCAAAAGCTCCCCCACAGCCAAAATTTACCTGAAGTTCACTTTGGGTTAGTTGAATAGTTTTGCAGTAAAACCAACTAAGCAAGGGTTTTACATCTACATGCTAACATTCAGCTTGAATGCTCGAAGTACAGATGTTCATGTACTTCTCAAAAAGCACAAAACTGACTCCTACTCAAAGAAATTTTTATGTGCTATTTCTGAATTAGCGTCAGGATGCCATGCTTTCAAGACAGGCAAGTTGCATTTACAATTTAATATTTCCATATTCAGAGTGACAAATGGAACATGGGCTGCCCCAAGACACAAGAACAAAAGCTTTTGTTTTCTATTAAGTTCTGTGTCAACAATAAATTGCACCTATGTAAAAATATGTGCAGTTTCATTAGCCAAAAATGACTGCTCTCAACTTTTCTAAACATTCATGTTCCAAATGTTTACAGTCTCGCAAACATGTAGGTAAATGCAGCATTTGCAGAATATTAGAGCACGTTTCACATCAATTTTTGGTGAGTTTTATGCAAGTTAGGAAAACATCAGAATTTCCTGGAAATCATTACAGATTTAATTAATTTTTAACAGCTCTGAAAGACAGCTTACTTTCCCTCAAGAGCACACTGAAAAAGTTTCTAAGAGCGTCTCACACAATCAGAAGGCAACTTCATCAAATGCCATGGTGGCAGGACCCAGGGCAGCTCCAGAAAAAGGGCACTGGATGTGCAGTATTGCAGAAGATACAGTAGAGATTTAAAAAGTACACCTATGACTGTACTTAAGACAACTCAAAACAGCAACAACAACACACCAAAACCCTCCAAAAAACACCCAAACATAAAAACCACCCCCACAACTGCACCACAAAAAACAAATGCTTCTTTTCCTATTGTGTTCCCACTCCTTTTTTTCGAGATTTCATAAACTGAAATAGTTTATGTCATGTTCACCTCCCAACATGGCTTCAGTCAGTTCCATCAGGAGTAAATCAGATCTTCTGAGTCCTTTCAAAGCTTAATTTCAAACAACTAAACATGGTCTGAAGAATCCCACATACATTACTTTACAAGTCTTAGAGTGTCAAAACTGAAGTAAATTAATCACTTTCAATTCAAGTGTCAACAAATTGACACTTTCAATCATACAGAAATCCTTATTTCAAGGCCCTAGGAAATTGTACTTTTTTCTATTATGACAGTTCCCTGTGGGAACATTTTTTCTTCAAATGATGTATACACAGGTGAATTTTGACAAGAGTTAACAGCAAATGAGCTACAGCACCCTGTATCAATACAGGGTAATGTTACATGATTTACAAAATTGTCCACCAGTTAAATAGCACATGTTCTGAACTAGACTGATATAAAATTAACGCTCCAGGACTGTAGAGAAGTTTGATGCACCCTATGTCCCATTTTGTCATTTAATTTTAGATAATAATTACACAATACATCATTTCTTAATGTAGCCAAATACAAAACAAAGAAAATTGATGATGTGTATTTATTTTGCAGATGTTAATATAGTAAAGAAATCTTTCACTTTTGGGCAGGATTACATTTTTCCCATGCAACTTGAAATTCAAGTTATTTAGTATAAAAAATATATACTCCTACTTTTAGTGAGTATAAAAAAATGCAGCAATAGCTAGACCTGAATTAATTCTGTTCCAGTTCTGAGCTAGGCAGGGGAGGCACAACACAGAAAGGCACAAAAATTCCCTGAGGTAGATCAGCAAATTAACATCTAATTAGGGAAACAATCCCTTGTCCCAAAGGGTGCTTAGACAAAATCTCAGGCCCCAGTAAAGCTGCAGCTTTCAGGGAAGGAATGTATGTGCTCAATGTCCTCCTGAAGGTGGTGACCCTACAGGATTTCCCTGCTGTGAGAGAGGAGGTGGAAACTCCCTCTCCTTTATTTGAAAATACTGAAGACATCCATGCTTTAACAACATTCCATCAAAAAATGAATCTTACAGTTCTGTTACCACAGCCTTAGCAAAATAATAAAATGCATTTTCACGCGTTTAGTTTTTTTTTTAATTGCTGAATCATGTATTTTGCTTCAGTCACTGGTATGTATTTTGTCAATCCTTAATGCAGTAGTAGCCAAGCATTAGTAGCTCATATGCTAAGTAAAGGTTCAGCAAGTGTAAGAATATATATTAATTTATGCAAAGACATCTATTATGGAGAAAAACCCCTTATTTCCTTTTCTACTGAAGAATCTCATAGAGGTGAAAAGCAGCTCATGGGAGAAGTACTGGCAATTTATCAGGCATGTGCATGGCTCGTCAAGATTTCTGGCATATGCATACAGTGCTGTGCTTATCTGCCTCTGATCAGACAACTGTCAACACAATGTCTTCAAAGAAACTTTTACAAGCAATGAACCTAGACAGCAGCAACTTCAGAGGCTGACAAGTCCCTAGAAAAGTACAGTCAGTGTTATCAGTGTTTTATCTGCATGATTAACATAGCCTTAGGCTAGTGATTCTGTAGCAGGTGTGAAATTGTATTTCTTTAATATCTGGCCTTGGAGTGACATTATCAGGAAGAGGAACCCAAAAACACCCAGAAAAACCCGCCATTGCTTCTCCTGCTTACCAGCTCCTCACGAAGTTGGGCTATGAGTTCGTCTCTCTCCTTCAGCTGCAGCTTCAGCACTGAGCATTCATCTTTTATTCCATCCTAGAAAAACATCAAAAGAGACGTTATAATAGGCTTAACGCTTCTACTTTGCTCATGACAAGAAAAGGCTGTTTCACATAGTGTGAGATAATTACATTCAAATAATGAAACTCCATTTTTCTTTGTCATGTGTGGTATTTTCAATAACATTTCCTAAGTTGCTGCATAAAGAAATTAATGTATCCAAAACCATTGCATAGAAATTTGAATAGCTCCCTGCATAGAAGTCCATTTCATTGTTTTCTGAATCTTTCAACTCTTTTTACTGAAGATCCTATCAGGTCATTCCTTTTCATTTGAGAAACAGCTATGAAATGTTGTAATTTTAATCATACAAAACAACATTAGAAAAATATCAATTTAGAGCATTATTGCAGAGCTCTTGATCTTAGAGAGATGAAAAAGAAAGCATAACAGACATCCACAGAAAAAGGAAAGCACACTCCCCATCCATCCATCTTTTGTCCCACATCAGCTAAAACAGCCACAGTTCTGGTATTAACTGGGGGAGGAAAGAATATAGTTACCACTTAGTGAAATAACTACTGTAACTCAATCTGACCTGCACAAAAGTGACCCTAATAGCTAAAACTGTACCCAAACCCATGTCCAGGCAGCAGGCTGCAAACTGTCCCCAGGAAATCTCATGAGTTCATGTAAGTCTCAGCATCATATTTGAAGAAGAAATATCAAGCTCTGTGTTGTTCTGATAAACATTCCAGAGGAGAAATTCAAATTAATAGACTGAACTGTTGAAAAGTAAAAACCTAGTAAACTAACCAGCCAACTAGCTGGTTATGCAACTGTAACAGAAGAACTATATATTTACATCCTTCTAGCATGTAAACACTTAGTTTGGGAAGTTTACTAATTTGGAGCACTATTATTGAAAGAGAAAAAAACAAAAAAACACCCCCCCCCCCCCCCAAAAAAAAAAAAAAAAAAGCCCAACAAAAAACCCAAACAAACAAAAATACCAAAAAAACACAAGCCATATGACAAGAAAACTTTTGGCAATCTGGTGGCATATTCACAACACTTATTCTGAAAATTAAAAAAAAAAAAAATTGACCTCTAGTTATCAACTAACAGCAGTATAAGAGTGCAGAAATCATTTATATTGTGTAGAGTTCAGAGGTTCTCAAGGTTACAACCAGTGTGATAAACTTGCACTTTGCCACTACTAATGTGTTTGTAAATCCAAATAAACACAGAAATATAGGACAAAAATGTATAGTGTGATCCCATTTTCCTCACATAAATGTAATAATTATAATATTTCCAAGTAATTTTATTGCTCATCATCTGCTCCAACAGAATTGAAAGAAGAAACAAGACACAGGTGCATCAATATTGCAAATATTTTAAACAATTGCAAAAGGAAGAGTTACACCATTTCTGACCGCTTACACACTACTTCAGTACTACTATAGATCTTCTGAAAGATCCAAACTTATAAAAAAGCCAGAACTCGCACTATATCTGCTAGGGAAAATCTCATGGAAGCCTTCTTTATTGCATGCTATTGAAGCATTTTACTATCTACTAGCAGATTGATGTTTAGGCAGATTAGCTGAAAATAAAATTTTAGTGCATCCCAGAATACAGCCTGCAGCACTCGATATGATATTAGTGCATATTTAACATTACTGTTAGCAAAAATATCTGCTTCTAAAAAATATGGTTTTAAGTATCAGCAACAATTATTTTATCTAAGCGACGTGTTTATTTACTGAAATGGTTTTAAAAACAATACAGCATTAGCTATGGTACCTCAAATTTTTGTTACATTGTTCTGAATTCTTTTTGTCACTGCAGTTTTACACTGTTGCTACCTTTTTAATTTCTCCTTTTTAACTTAGAATAAAATAGTACAACACACAGTGGAAAAAGAAAAACATCAAGGTCCCATAGCCAAGACTGTTACAAAAATATCTTCTGGAAAGCATACACAAGCACATACAGCAATGAGGCCTGTAACATCCTGCCGAAACCACAGCAGGAAACATTTTTCCAGTGAGCTTTGGCACTAGCTTTTGTCCAAGAGGCAAAGCAGAACTCCTTTGGACTAGTGAGAGCTTGAAGAACGATTCTGCCCCAGAGAGCTTCCAAAGACTTAAAACTCACAGTGCACCTCTCCTGGCAAAAAGCAGCGGAGTACCCAGCTGGATCTTCCTCACGCATGCAAGGAATGGACCCCTCCTGCTCGGCACAGTTCTCCAGGCACTTAACTGCCGCATTCCATGCAACAATTGTCTCATAAAATTTAGACCATAACTATCCTTAGAGCTTGGAGAAAAGCATGGAAGGCTAAGGTTTTTCACTTGCATTGCCTCATTTCAGCAAAACTCTGATTAACCCTTCCAGTGGGACAAGGTGCTTGGAAATCAGTGCTCCGCATTAACAACTCGTGCACGGGCCACTGCAGCCTTGTAAAAGAGCACCCACGCAATTTCTGGGATGCTTGAGACTCTTAGGTTTGGACTCTACAATGATTTTGGCTGAGGCAGAGTTAACTTTCTTCACAGCAGCTTGTGTGGCACTGCAGGCTGGCTTTGGTCTGGAAGCAGTGTTGTACACTCACTGTACAGAGATGATTTTGTTTTACCAAACAGCACTTACACGGTGCCAAGGCCTTTTCTGCTTCTTGTACTGCCACTGCAGTGAGGAGAGGGGGGTGGCACAAAGGAGTTGGGAGGGGACACAGCCAAGACAGCCAACTGATCCAAGAAATATTCCATCAAAAATGGCATTGTGCTGGGTATACAAAGCAAGGGAAAGAAAGAGGAAGGAGCGATGGTGCTCACCTTCCCAAGTCACCTCAACACATGATAGAACCCCGCTCTCTTGGAGCAGCAGACAGCTGTATGTTGTTGAGTGCAGAGTAGAATTAGGATGTTATAATCTCATTTTGCTGCACAGTATCTGCAGAGGCATCAATCTTTCTTCAAATGCAAGAGCGTGAATAAAAGAAAGAAAACACATTGTCAAGCAGTTGACTGCAAAAAGGTTTGGGCAATTTCAGTGTCCCAGACACCTGTCTGAATGTAGCACTAACAGAATAAAAAGTGTTGTGGAAAAAACTGCTGCCAAAACACTGAATATAGTTCCTCCAGAAAGTAACTAGTGAAAGCTCTGGCAGGAGAAGAGGCTAAGAAAATCCTTTTCTCATGCAAGAACCAAACTATTTCAGTGAAGGATTACATGAATGATACTAAATAAATGGCATGTTATGGAAAGGTGTGGAGGGCAGAAAAACTGGTGGAATGCTGTGTTTTTCATTAGTCTGCGGGAAAACAGCAATGTGTATCTGATGGTAGGAATTCAGGAATGGATCATCTCTGCTCCTTAGAAGGTCTGAAATGCTTCATTATCTGCTGAGAAACTATACCACAGGGAAAAGCTGCTGTGAAAAGACCAAAAAATTTTTTGAGAAAGGCTTCTCAAGGTGAATGAGAAATAGCAGACACAGTCTGATGGGGATTTATAGTACAAAAAGCAACCAAAAAAAAGCCCAAACCCAAACCTCCCAAAAACCCAGTATTGCCTCCTAATGAATTGTCACAGCAACAGACATTAAAGAAGAAAAGGATGGCCTGCTTTTAGGAGGGCATGCACTCAATGTATTCTAAATCTACGCTACATTTTACTAACCTGGAAAAAAAAACATTTCCCTCATAAAGTAGGGCTTTCTAAATACACTTTGAATATTCTGGGGCTGTGAGAGTCAGCCTCTTAGCTATCTCCACATTCCAGTAGACACCCGACTCATGTATTCCTGTGTTTAGAAAAATAAGCCCAATTATAGTGTGGGCATGATCACATTTGCAAAATATGTCTCCAGCTTTTTTCAGCCCTTACAATACTTATAGAGTGTAAAAGAACAGACTATCATATAAGTAGAATTCAGAAGCCAACTAAAATCAACAAAATGTCCACAGATATAAAAGTCTGCTAAGTGACATTTACTTTTTCTATTTACTAAACCAATACCCTTTGCCACTTTGATTCCTTATCTTTCTGCAAAATGAGTTTATGCCAATATTTTATCAAGGCTACTAGTCCAGTAAGAACATGACTGCTATGAAATTATCAGTCCAAATAATTCAATCTAAGCTCTAGGCATGTTTTCATGTATCACTGCAGCTTCGAGGCCATTTAGCAGAGCTTAATAAATTATATATACTACATATTACATTGTCATTATTATTCTCATTGTTTTTATTAATGCTGTTCATTATTTTACTATGGAAAAAAGGATGAGAATTCTGCTCTCAATTGTAGTAAGCATGTCCATGACTCTGGAAATGCTTTCTAAAAAGTCAATGAACACCTCTTTGTTAAAGAGAACTGTTACACAGTATAATCCATAAACAGTACATCTTCAAATTACTTTCTTTTATTAAATACAGATAATAAAAAAAAGTTTTCCAGACTAAATTCCAAGTGTATCTCATAAAAATATAAAAGTAGCTGTGTGCAAAAAGCTATCTATCACTTTCTTCACTTATATCCTGTGATACTTAAAAAAATCCATGATTCAGGTGCAAGTTCATTATGGAGCTCCTGTTATTACTGCATACATTTACGGTCAGAACAGTCTTCAAATTATCGCCTTTTTACTTATTTTCAGTTGCTAGCTATGACAGCAATTGCTATGTCTCAGTGCCAGTATTTTTCTATTTTAGTTTAATTCTGCTCATTTGGGAAAATGCTAAACATAGTAGCAAATCTGTTTCTCCTCAGATCAGGTCACAAGATGAAAAATTGTGCTGTGTGTGAAGACAGCTGCAGCAGGTTATGCATAAGTGCCAAAAAGAATAATAATTTTAAATTTGAAAACTTACTTTATACCTCTTCATACTTGTGAACACAGAGACATATTGTGCTTACTGTAATCAAAGCACTATAAACAGATCTAACCAAGTATTCTGGAAGATAAATTTACTGCTTTTCCTCTGATACTAAACAGAATATGTTTCTAAAGAAATACCATAAAA